GCATAACTATGTAATTACGTCAAAAAGTCTTAGAAATACAGAACTCAGGTTTTCAAAATGCAAGGTCAAAGCATGACCCTGCAAGACCACCTAATCCTGGGCAGCCCAGCCTAGTCAGCACTAGAGCTGGATGCTCACTGGGAGCCTCCTTGTAGGAAACGTTGATACAGCAATTCCAAATGCTAAACTGCTGACATGAAGAGAACTGTATGATACAGGCTGTTGTTGTGTGGATGTGCAAACAGCAATTTCATATTTAAGCCACAGCACACACAAAGATAGAATGGGAAGCACCCACAAACTAGAACAGGATGAGATAATTCCTATCCACCTTCAGGGAGAAAAAGAAGGAAGGCTGCCCACGGACCACCCATGGACCCTAGGGGTAAAATCCAGCCTCCCACCCTACCTCAAGGCAAAAATCAGGAACACTGAGCAAGAAAGGAATGTTTCAACATCCCTAGGTTGTCTTCTCCAATGCATTTTTTTTCCTTAAGACTGTACAGTCTTTTTAATTTATAGCCAACACAAAGGAGAACAATTTTCTGTAGACAAGCTTTAAGGGCAGCAGAGACTCTTCTTTCTTTCTACATGCAAGAGAGTATCATTCTTGTTGCTTTCATTTCAGTGCTATTCAGTTTGTTTGCATCTCTCAAAATGCTAATGTCATTTGAGGCTTCACCAGCATTTAGGTTTTCTTCTTCAGGTATTAACACAAAATTCTTCTCTTGAAACAGTCACCAAAGTTGTTTATTACTTTTACAATCCTATTACTTTTAAGACATCTATAACTTGTGACTTGACAAAACAGGTCTGTCTGTCCTGTTTTTCAAATGTATCAAGATTATTTTCAATTCTGAGCATGTCCTTTAAAGCATCTACAACTGCTCCCAGCTTAATATTAATAAAGATTCAGATGGTTTAATCAGTTTTAAGACTTCCCTCACTTACTGAGCATATATATTTTTAATAGTAAGATGAGTGACGTCATATTTATCAAATTCAAAATAAACTACTGATCCATAGCTATTGACCATCATTAATGAGCTATAGTAGGGGGAGAAGAAATATATCAACAGAATATAAATGGAAGTATATTGTGATGTGGAACCACAGTATGCTTACATTAACATTGATGCACAAGCAAAGCTGCAACCCTGCATTACTACTAAACACATCTGGAGATTATCACAAACAACTTTTTCAAGTTTTAGCCTCCACATCAAATTATTTTAAAATTACACAACACAAAATTGACAGTCTAAATGCTTGACTTTAAGTGATGAAATCAATTTAAAATGTTTTAGAGCATGTTCCAGCACATTTAGGGATCTCTGTACACCGTTTAAACAAATTCTAATGCCATCAAAAATTTTAAGAGTTCTCCAACTTCAACTCATTTTCAGGTATTTCCTCTGCCATCTTCAATTATTCTACAAGTTAATGCTTTAGACGAGTGGTAACTTCTCTTCAGAATTATTCAGACATTTACCACAGTTGATATCTTATTGCTTATGTTCCTCCATAGTCAAAGGCCATCAGATTTGTGTAAAATAATTACAAGCTTTTAAAAATACCCAAATCACATCAGAGTAATTTTGAATTTTAAAATAACTTCTTCAAATGCTGTACCTCACCACACTTCTTCAGAAATGAAAGATTTGTGAGAGGTCCTTTCACTGAAGCACAGAACTCTGCATACCAGAATCAATCTTCTGGTATCAGCAGCCAATTTATCCAGAATATGCTCCTCATTTTCTCTCTTGCTATTTTTGTAGCTTATATACATCTATAAAATAGTTAATGTGCTTAGGAGTATTATCATTCTTGTTCTGCTCTCACCAACTAATAAGATTAGTTGTGGGTCCGGGTGTGTGTTCCTTTTTTCTCTTAATACATACAAATTGCTTTATGTCACTATAAACAATAGTGTTTTCTTTTCCACATGAATATACTCAACTGAATACTCTTTAAGGACTCATTTTCCAGCTTCTCCTTTCTTCTGGCCTTTCTTAAACTAGGCTTGAGTACCAACTATAAGCAAATGACACTAGAGATTACCTCATTTGATACAAACATTCTACATGGAGCCAAAGATCTCTTCTGTAATGATAGCTCAGTCAGATTGTTCAACAAATCACATGGTAAAATTAGGAATCATAATTAAAAAGAGATAAGGCAAGTACACTTCACGTTAATCCATCTGAATTGATGGGTCTTCGCTGTACCACAACCTTTTAGAAGGAAAAGTGATAAACACCACAAGCAATAGAGAATTACCACAATTGCAGATTACCCAAATGTGATTTTGTCAGATTTGGTCTCATAGAACCCAGTCTTTCTCTCACCACATGTAGGCAGCCAGAGATGCTAACTGGGTTTTTTAATCTTTCAAGGTACTTTCCCATTTCTGCACACAGGCACCCATGTTCATAACCTGGTAGCAGCATCTTAGGTAACCAGTTATTCTCCTATCACACCATACAGAAACAATTGTGCATTGTGTGATGAAAAGGAAAATAACAGTTTCTAAAAGTCCTACATAACTCCACATAACTCCCTGGATTTGGGAAAAAAATATGTCTGGGAAGATGCTGGCCCCTTACTTCATCTATTCTTACTTCATGCATTTTATTATCTCTTTCAAGTGAAGACACTTAAGTCCATTTCTCTATCAAAAACAGTCTTGTATTTTGACTGCCAAATATGCAGGAATTTGCTCAGTATTTGCTATTAGAACTACAAATAAATTAATCTTTTTAGAATACTTCAGCAAATGGTTTTCCATCCTTTGAAGAAGTCATGCAATCGAACATGTCTCTGAAAGCAGTAACGACTATCACTGAAAGAGTGAGAGAGCTAATGTAGATTTTTACCTTTTAAGAAGCTCTGCCAATAAACTAATACTGGCCTTCAACTTTCATTCTACAGTCCAGAACTCATTTTTACTTATGCACAACTACTGGTCTCCTAAGTCACAGGTAATTCTTATGGGCAAATGAAATTCAGCAAAAAAACTGAAGATATTTATTGGTTTTGAACTTGTTACACTAGGTACCTACATGTCACTTACATGTGATAGGTGAAAATCAAGTACTTTGATTAGTTATTCAGTTAATCCAAAAGGAGGTATTGGCAATTATGTACTCAAAAAAACCCCCAAAAAACAGGCCAGCCACAGCCACACCCTACCACAATACATGACTTGTGGCTATCCTGCTCCCAGCTGCAGCATCAATCACACACCTTTTCATTCCGTAACTCAGCACTATTCAAGCACCAACTCAAACCATCCCACCCTGCCCAGTTCTTTTCCAAACAAGGTGAGAGGATGCACATGAACAGCCTTCAACTCCCTAAAGAGTTAAAGATGTTCAATGGAAGAGATGTCAAATAAACTAGAACCATTCCTAACTTTGTTGAACTAAATTAGCTGAAGATTGTCCATTATTTAGCTAAATAACAAATTAAGTTACAAACTTTTTTCTAACAATTTCGTCTCTGATATTATAATTCAAATTAAGATGTTGTCAAATTCACACTATTTGATGGCTCTTGTGAAAGAATCATATTTAATTCTATATTGCAAGCTAATGACATTAGTGCCAGCAGGGCAGCAATCTGGGGAATCAGGGGAAAGGAAGCACTCCCATCCTACCATCTCTCAGATGATACACAAAAAACTTTAGACCTGAAAGGAGACATCATATTCCCTCAAAAACAAAACAAACAAAAAAAGAGAAACTAAAAAGCCAAAATACCCAAGCCCAACAGAATTGACAGAGGCTGGAGGGCAGTAAGACTGTCCTTTTGAATTCCTACCCATACACTATCAGATTGGCCCACACTATGACCAGCCTCTCACCCACCACAAAACTAATTTCTGAATCAATTCAATGGCTTAACTAGATCTATACTTAAAACTGGATTTTGCTCTTTTATGAGATGAGATAAGAAAAAAGACAGAACTCCTTACACAACAAACATACATACATGTAACCTGCTGTCAGTCTCAATGAAATAACTATGACTTCTATCTCTTCCAAATGCAAGCATTCCTAAACCTTCTCCTATGCCTTAATAAAAACTATAATACGAAAACATGCATGAGCTGGCAGCATGACATGTATCCGTGTCAACAAGGTACTTCCTTTATGGACAAGCCATGCAGCTACATGTTAGCTGCTGCAGAGGAAAGAGTGCTTTTGTTTCATTCCTAAGTTGATAGAGATTCATTCTGGTGTTGCTTCACATTGTGCAGGAAGAAGCAGCAGTTACAAATTCCAGTAAATGAAGTTTTGCCAAGGTAGATGATCCTTCCTTCCTATGTTATAGAACAATCACATTTTCAACACGTGGGCTGAACAACAACCAGTATAGCACCATAGCTTTTGTTTTACAACTATAATCTCCTTAAGAAAATAAACTGCAAGTTTATTGTGTTGGCAAACCTAACTTGTCCATGTTTAGGTTCTGACTTCATTATGAACAAGCACAGTACAAAATCTACCATGCACAAGAGCACTTTAATAAAAGGATATGGCCCACAGGGAAGGAGATTCCAAGATGCAGAACAAGATTCTGGATTGTTAAAATAACCACATTTCCATACTGAAGATAAGCCCATCATCTGACTGTAGTAAACATGCACAAGCCACAGTCCAGCTCCCTTGGGGAGGGTTTCATGATTCCCAGCAAGATCTCTTACAAAAAACTAAAGAAAACCCAAAACAAATAAAAAACACCAAACAGAAAGAGCCAATGCACGAGCGAAAAAAAAGAAACCCACCATCTGCATTACATACTACAAAGAAAAAGTTGCAGAGAAAGAGGCAAGTCTGTTCATCAACTCGCATATTTTAATTCAGAAAACCTTTTTCCAAAGGAGGGGAAAGGGGTAGGAGGTTGCAGGTTTTCCACATTCAGCTAACTAGGAGCAGCAAACTCCCTCCCTTTGTCCCTCCCCTACAACTACTAGCTTCACACATCTGCATTGTTACCTTCACTTTTTCTCTTCTCAGGCAGCAGAAAAGACAATTTTCATCAAAAGACCAATCAGAAACACCTTCAGGCTCACAGTCTGTAAATCAGAAGAATAGCAAATTACTTCATATTCATAAACCATGACACAACTGGAGCCAAAAGAGAAATGCTGAATTAAATACCTGTTTCACAACATTCTTGCCTGCTTTCTGAGGATTCAGGCTTCATTTCAGCCATTTTTCTAAATCCTCAGATTACCAAACTATATACATTTTATCTGTGCACAACAAATCTGTTTTTCTGAGCACTGCAAAATACACTCCCAGCTACATAAAGATGAACACACACTCATTAGTAATTTTAGCCAATATGAAACTAACTGTGAGCACTGCCTGGGGGAGGGGGGAAAAAAAGCACAAATCACCACGGTAACACACATTTTCTAGAGGCAGAGCTGAGGCTGCTTCTGTCATTAGAAATGCAGAACAAGATACAAACATAGAGATTGAATACCTTTAAACAAACTGAGATCTTTTAATAATCCAGGTCCAAACAGGCCTTCTAGAATACTTTCAAACCCTAAAAGCAAATAAAAGAATTGTTAGCTTTCTAGATTAGTACGTCACTACAATATTCATAATAGCAGTTCTATATTTATCTGTTCCAAGAACAGAGCTCAACACGTTTTCTCCAAGTATTACAAGATACACGGGTCATTTGTGATGACTGAACTACTGATAAATCATAGCACAATCTAGAGTCCACTGACTCCTGCCCTTTTCTAAATAGCTAGGTTAAAAACAAAGAACATTACAACATTGAAATAAACAATTTTGAAAAGAACACAGGAAGCTGCAGGTTCTACAACATGATCGAGTAATTTCTACCCAAATAAAAATACTCTCATTTAAGCCCCCGAACTGAAAGTACATTTTCCCAACTAAAAAATGCATTCTTCCATCTTAGTGGCATTCAGTTACTTTTCTGAATTTCAGTAAACATTAGAATCAGTGTTTCCTGAAGAGCTGCAGTTTTGAGGAGAGAAAATTGAAAGGAGAGGGATTCAGTGCTGCCATATCACTAAGGAGTGAAATTTCAATCACAGATCTGCATCCAAGACACATACAGTCCAACTTACTTCAATGCCACAACTTACACCTCACTTAAAATAAATATAATCAATTTTACTTTATTCCAGAAGAGGGAAAACATGCACCAAAATTACTGCCATTATTTGGAAAAGTAAATCAATATTACACTAACGCCCTGTTGGTGGTAAAAAAATCTAGAGACCTATTAACTACCCAGTACTGTGAGAAGATGGGTTAGCAGAGTGAGTATAAAAAGTACAAAGATTACTTTAAGGGTGACAAACTCCACCTTATAAAAATGCATAAAAATGGAATGACCAGAAAAATTCAAGACTAAAACTTAGTACATTGCCTGCCCTTCTCTCCCCCCTCCAATACTTTTGCTTTGTAGGTTTAAGTAAACCAAGTAGCTAGGGGCTTCTAGCTTCTACTTGTTTGAGTCTTTGAGTAGCAGAAGAAGAAATTAAAAAAAAATTAAGAAACAAAAACATGGTCTTAAATTTAGAGAAACTTGCATGAGTGAATCAAGGACAGATAAACTACCCAAAATAGCAATGCTTAAGAAATCAGTCAAAATCTAAATGATCATGTACTATGAAGGAAATAGTTGATTACACTTCAAAAGAGCAGTAATTCTAAAATAATCCTAACTTCATCCAGATGTAATATCTAAGTTATGTTTTGGACAGCAGTCTTCAAAGGGAAATGACAAATAGCCTTACACCTCTCTGGCTGTCAGCAAGAGTGCCAGTGCACCAACATCTTTAGTGATCAGATGCAGGATCCTACCGAATTTGCAGACTGCAACATGACTTAGATGGCCAAAGCATTGCTGAGGTACAACACAAAAAAACTGATCTCAGAAAGGACAAAAAAAATAAAAATTAAAAAGTGAAATAACAGTCAAAAGTGAAGATAAATAGGGAGAAATCAGAAAACAAGGTGGAAGAGAAGAAACTGAGAAACTGGAAACACATCTCATTGAACAGCACCTTGTCAGGCAGAGAAGTAGCACTGCCTCCAAAAAAAGCCAATTCAGGCTTCAGGAAGTGGCAGGAACAGTGGGAAAGGGCCGACCAACCTGACCTAGAAGAAAAATAGGAGAATCAGGGTATTGGCCCATAGGTTTGTAACGTTGAATAGTTTATAACGTTTTTAACATATGGGTAGTGACCCTTAGAATTTGACTCTGAAATGAAACCTTAAGGAAAATAGCTAACCAACCTTGTTCTTTATCTTTTTGTTTAAAACTTTTATTTTTTTATATACATGTATAAAAATCAAGACTTAGAAATTTTACTCAAACTCATCAATCTTTTAATAGTAACTGCCAGTGACTCATGCCCCACAGTTTGCCATGCATGCAATTGCACACTGAAGTCCTTGCCAAGTTTTACAGCTTGGATATTGTACGATCATAGTTTGCTAGCCCACTGTTCTGAGTGATGCTAATGCCACTCGGGTTTTATTAATATTAAATATTGGATTTAGCAGTTGCATAGCAACAGCAGAACATCTTATGTGCAATGTTTGACATTAAAAAAGGCAAATAAGGGAAGTATGAATGTATTCAAAAATTATACTAGAGACTGGTAAAACTGCCATAAAGCTGAGCCCTATCCCCCCCAAATGCAAAGTGCAATGCAGCAAATGCAGTTTAAGCCCTGTGATGTTGTGTTCAGTCATTCAGGGCTCCAAAAGAGCAACTGTGTACAGTTAATCATGCAGAATACATTGAAAACAAAATCTTGAAAAAGGAGCTGCCTACTTTTTATAGTATTTTTTCTCTCCATTGTCACTGCTCTTAGAAGCTTGAAAAGAACATTTCTTTTCCCACCGATTGTCCTTTTCCATTTGGCAGATGATATTTTCCTGCATTTCAAATGGAACAGAAATTAACATGGCTCCCTCTGCTAAATTCCAGTTTCTCTATTTTCATCATCTGTATTTCAGTGTCTGACAGTTCACAGCAGCTGAAGAGCAGAGCCAGTGGAAAAGTTGCAGGAATAACAGAATTAGAATAAAGAAAAAGAAAGAAGATTCCAGTATTTTAGAAATCAGTATTATTTATATATCAGATTAGATTTTCAGTATCAGTTATATTTAGATCTCTCATATGCTCTTCACAATCAAAGCAGCCACATATTTAACTCTTACAAACGTTACTGATGACCTTTACAATGAAAAACATTTTTGGATGTTAGTACAAGAATTTAGAAAAAAATTTAATAAAAAAAAACCCCCAAATTTATAAAGTGGAAAACATCTCTCTTTTCCAGAAGGCACTCTAGGAAGTGAAGAATTAGAAAAAACAAATCCCAGAACAAAGAAAACCCTTAGAACTGAAGCAAGAGTGGAATAACTTTTTAAATGCAGAGGTTGTTACAAACTTACTCCTATTTCACAACTGTTTGCGATAAAAGTAAAGCATCCCCTAAAACATCCTCTGATAAAAATCAGAATATGTATGTGCCATTTTTCTGCTAATGGTAGCAAGGAAAGAAATGAAAACTAAAAAGGGGGGGGGGGAAGGTTGACTACGCAGTCTTCAGCGTGATCAATTTTCACTAGTTTTATCTCTGCATCTAAACAGTTTTATTTTCATCTTTGCTTGGCAGTTTTACCCATCCGTAGCCAAATATTTTGTCATAAATTTGAACTGCAATTGTAGTTCGATGGCTAATGCTTTACGGCAACAATTTAACATAACAGTTTAAATTAATCCTGGCAAAGAAAAAACAAAAATTCAGTTAGGCCCTCGTGTCGTCTTCTCCCTTAAAATTGAGAGCCCTGGTGGCCATTAAGCAGTCACCAGGCTCCCTGGGATAACAGCATCAGAGAAGTCGGTAGCTGATGGCCAATCTCTAGTAATGCAGATTAGCCAAAGACACATTCTCTGCTGTAAAAAACAGGAATGCAAGATCTTCAGAAAGAGATAAGGATGCATTTCTGGAGTGCCATTGACACAGAGCCTAGCATGTCAAACAATGCCTTTTCCACCCTCAAGACAGCACAGCTCAAATATACCTTTGAATAGTCACTACATAATTCAGCCCTAGATACGCATCTAGTCAAAGCAGTAAAGCTTAACTTACAGGTACAAATCATTTTGGGGGTAGTAAAGACCACAGACTACTATTGCTCTGAATGTATTATTACATAAATTGTTAGAAACTCAAGAAAAAAAAGTCAACATAGCAAGGGCAGAAAATAAAAACCAACATACATAGCTGTCAACTCCTCAGCCCTCAACTGTCAAATTAATCTGTGAATATAAATTTATAAACTAAACCTCAATAGACTAAGTAAGTACTATCCAGGCGAGCAGTTAAGTACAGTAGGTCATAGAACCAGAGAATCAGAATATCCAGAGTTGGAAGCGATCCACAAGGATCAAATCCAACTGCAATGGACCAGTTGCAACAGAAATTAAGACAAGTGATTCATCAGCATTTATTTATAATAAACAGCCAAATATATAGCAATTTGCACATTAAAAGGACAACTTCAAAAAGCTGGAAATTGAGTCAAGTCAGTTAAGATATTAGTTGGTTATATATTTTGTTTAAATTTTTTAACTATCTAAAAACATATTAGAAAACATCAAAACCATGGGAGAAAAAACCTAACCTGCTAAATGGGGAAAAAAAATTTAAAACAACAAAACCCAAACCCAAGTGACTAAGAGTAAAAGCACAAAGAGGAGACAAACAGTTGGATGATTGATAGGAAGATTCAGAGCAGAGAAGATAAATCAAAACTCAGAAATGTTGCAAAAGCCAGAGAGGAAATGCATACAGCTTTAAAGTAAGTAAAGATTAAATCAAAACCAAGGCACACATTTTAGGTAATACATATAAGAGTATGATAGTATACTACAAAACATTCAATAGAATGGTATATAATCATTCAATAAAATGTATCAAGGTGGTGTTTACTAACATGTGCAAGTTAATTGTCTTAATATTCAATGGACGTGTGCTTTGTTTTTCTTTCTGTGAGTTACTCAAAGAGTATTTGCCGCAGTGTTTAATTCCAGAAAGTCTTGAAATATTTCCAAATCCCCAATGGGCTCAAAAAAAAGGAAAACAATCTCTTTGAAATGTCACAACATTAAACAAGTTAGTACCGAGGTCTCAGACTGGTAAAGGTTTTCAAAACCAATGAACTGTTCACAGGAATTGACAGCAAAAATGGTGTAAATCAATATGGGCTTACAGAAATTCTTATTAGTCTTACAAAACTAAAATTTTAAAACAACAGGTTTGATATAATATTTTCAGACTTTTGGGCTGGCACGACACATCTTGACTAAAACCAGAAATTAAAAAAAAAAATTTAAAAAACCCTAAGCCAAACAAAAAAAAATTCAGTCAAATAAATACAAAACATTAAAAATCAATTAAGTGACAGCTCTTGAAATATTGGTGGCAATGAGAAACTACTGGCAGCAAGGTCCATCAAGTACTGGTTCTTGGCCCTGTGCCA